TTTGTAGTGGAAAATAGAAGACTCTTTTTGCATTCTTATTACGGAGCAGAGAAACGAGTGTCATGTTTTCTCCATCATCAATTTCTCTCTCTCTACTGGATTTTTCTGGCCAATATCTAAACATGTTTTTATTTCTCTCAAAAGCAAGCAAGTATAATGGTGGAAGAACTATTCCTCTACCCTCTAGGTCCTTCTGGCTGCACTAAGAATTAAATTGATGTGAGACAGAATAACAGGAGAAAATCAAAGTTTAATAACATGTTTATATGGGAGAAACCCAGGAAAACTGGGTAACTCACCGAAATGGCTGAAACCACCACCTTAAATACTATCATCAGCTAAGGACAAAGGAGGATGTTGAGGGTAGTGGTTTGGGACTTCAAAGGGAAGGAAGGCAATTTACATGGAGACAGAAAAGCAAATGTTTGGTAAATAAATGTTTGCTGGGCCGTCTATAGACAATGTGACTGGAGAGAGAACTTGATGAAGATGGGCCTAGGGAGGTTCCTCCCAGTCTACCACACCTAGAGTTGTCTATGGGGATAACTCCTTCCTGGGAGAGGGCGTCTATCTTAAATTCTTTTTGGCAGTTAGGGGAAAAGTCAAAGTTTATCTCTGAGTCTTTTGTTCTTAAAAATGATCAAGCCAAAGAGATACATTTTGAAATGGCAAATTCTGATCCCCCACACTAGCCAGAAAAAAGGAAAAGACCTATGTTGACCCCACTTCCTTCTCCAACTATGTCTCATCTTTCTCTTTCATTTTACATCAAAACTCCTCAAAAGTGTTAGCTATACCAGCTGTTTCCAATTTCTTTTTATTTTATCTTGAGTCCACTTCAGGCGGGCTTTGCTATGATCTCTTCATTAAATTGGCTGTGTCAAGGTTACTAAGAAGACCCATAGTGCTAAATTCAGTGATCAATGCTCACTGCTCATCTTAGTTGACGTTTCAGCAGCATTTGACACAGTTGATAGTCCATCCTCCTCTAAATACTGTTTTTCTGTTTGTTTTCAGGATGCCATATACTTTTAATTTTTTTCCTACCTCACAGATCACTCCTTCTCAGTCTACTTCGCTTATTCTTCCTCATCACCCAGACCTTAAAACGGCGAAGTGCAAAGGGCTCAATACTTGGTCCTCTTCTCCTCTCTAAACTCATGTCTTTAAAAACATTCCATATATTGAATAACTCCAAAATGAGTTATCTCCAGCCCAGACCTCTCCTGTGAAATTCAGGCTAATATAATCAGCTGCATACTCTATGCCTCTATCTAGATATTTAGTGGACAATCTCAAACTCAATATATCCAAAACCAACGGTAAACTCCCCTAAACCTGATATTTCAGAAGTCTTCCTCATTTAAATTAATGGCAATGCCATTCTTCTAGTTTCTTAGACCAAATCCTTAGAGTCATCTTCTACCCTGTTTCTTTCACACACCAAATCCAAATCCATCAGGAAGCAAATCCTCTCAGCTCTACCTCCAAAATATAGAGTATCCAGGATCTTACCACCTTTCATCACCTTCACTGCCAGTCCTCTGGTGTTTCATCATTGCTACAGCATCTTAACTGATCTTTCTGCTTCCACTCTTGTTTCCATTCAGTCTCTTCTCAGCACAGAAGTCAGAATGACCCTGTCAAAACTGAATCCAACTCATATCATGGCCCTTCTTCAGAATCTTCCAGTGAAAGAGGGAAAAACTAAAAAACATTTTCAAAGGCTTCTAATAGTACTCCAAGTAAAAGTCAAAGTAAATTGATACAGGATCTAGTCCCCTGTTAGCTATCTGACATCGTCTCCTACTACTTTCCCCATTGCTCACTCAACTCCAAGTGTTCCCAAAAATGTGCTCCAGGTATGGATCTGCCTAATGGCTTTGCACTTATTATTATCTCTACCTGGGAAACTATCCATCCAAATATCCACATAATTTACTCCAATACTTCATCCATATCTATATTCAACAGTCAACTTCTCAGTGAGGCCTTCTCTGACCACCTGATATGTAATTATAAACTTTACCGTGAAACTTCTAAAAGAAAACATAGGCAGCATGCTCTTTGACATTAGTCTTAACAGCATATTTTCAAGTACCATGTCTGACCAGGCAAGGGAAATAATAGAAAAAAATAAACAAATGGGATTACATCAAACTAAAAAGCTTCTACGCAGCAAAGGAAACCATCAACAAGACAACCTAACAATTGGAAGAAGATATTTGCGAACCATATATCTGATAAGGGGTTAATATCCAAAATATACAAAGAACTCATACATCTCAACAACAAAAAAACTAACAACCCAATTAAAAAATGGGCAAAACATCCGAACAGACAATTCTCCAAAGAAATGTACAGATGGCCAACAGGTACATGAAAAGACGTTCAACATCATTATCAGGGAAATGCAAATCAAAACTAAATGAGATATCACCTCACTCTGGTAAGAATGGCTATAATTAACAAGATAGGAATCAATAAGTGTTGGAGCAGATGTGGAGAGAAGGGAACCCTCATACACTGCTGGTGGGAGTGTAAACTGGTGCAGCCACTATGGAAAACAGTATGGAGACTCCCCCCAAAATTAGTAGATCTACCATATGATCCAGCTATTCCACTGCTGGATATTTATCCAAACAACATGAAAGCATGAATGTGTAAAGGTACATGCACCCCTATGTTCATCACAGCATTATTCACAATTATTCACAATAGCCAAGACTTGGAAGCAACCTAGGTGCCCATCAAAGGACGAATGGATAAAGAAGATGTGGTATACCTACACAATGGAATACTACTCAGCTGTAAGAAATTATGAAATCCGGCCATCTGTGACAACATGGATGGACCTTGAGGGTATAATGCTAAGTGAACTAAGTCAGAGGGAGAAAGTCAAATACTGTACGATCTCACTCATAAGTAGAAGATAAGAATAACAACAAACAAACACATAGCAACAGAGATTGGATTGGTGGTTACCAGAGGGGAAGGGGGGAGGGAGGAGGAGGAAAGGAGTGATTAAGCACATGTGTGTGGTGATGGATGGTAATTAGTCTTTGGGTGGTGAACACAATGTAATCTACACAGGAATCAAAATATATAACGATGTACACCTGAAATTTACATGATGCTATAAACCAATGTTACCACAATTAAAAAAAAAAACTTTACTTTTTCCCTTTGCACTTATTACCACCTAGAATATTATATATTTTAATTATATGTTGCTTATTTTCTGTCTCTCTCCACTAATCTCAGAAAGATGGAAATATTGCTTTTGTTTTTTCCACTGCTGGCACATACAAGTGTTTATTCATATTAGTTGAAAGAGTCGGTGAATGAATGAATTTGGGGGGTAATAAACTAATATTTTATATAATGTAGCAATTAGCTCCTCCTGAATATTAAACCACCCCAAAAGTTGGTGGTTTAGAACAATAACTATTTATTTAGCTCATGATTTATGAATCAACGATTTTGTCTGAACTCAAACCAGACAGTTCTTCCTGTCTTGACTGGGCTAACTAATGTATTGTAGTCAGCTGTAGGTCAGCTAGGTAGTTTTACTTCTTAAATTTAGCTTGCTGTCAGCGAACGAAACATTGGCAAATAGGCCACATCCCTGTCATCATTGAGATGGCTAGTCTGAACTGTTCACCGGGTACCTAAACAGGGTTCTGAGAGAGAGCAGCAGTGTACAAGACCTCTCAAGACCTCGGCTCAGAACAGTCACAACATCATTTCAGCCACATTCTGCTGCTTAAAGTCTAATAACCAAGATTCAAGGGATGAGGAAATAAACTCCTCCTCTTAAAGGAGGGAGTTGCAAAGTCACATTGCAAAGGGGCATGGATCCAGGGAGGAGAATGACTTCAACTATTTTTGCAAATAATCTACAACTGCAGGCTACCAAGGAAAGATCAGAAATATTCTCCAGATAGCTTTCTGGAATAGAAACAGATGGCCAACTCGCCTGAGTGGTTTAGCTTTCTAAAACAAGAATTATTAATCTCTTACCATCCATGAATCTTTTGATGAGACAATACTTTCCATTCAAGTAATCTGATCTTCCACTTTTTGTCATTTATGACCCTGGATCAATATTGTGAAACAGCATAATAGAGTGGAATAAGAATGGTGATTTTTAACACTGAGGATTGCATTTTTAAATTCATCTCTTACCGCACGAATTTATGTGGGAAACAATTCTCCATGAGTCTCCAATGTCTCTGCGTGTCTTCTGAGCAGAGGCACTATCAGCTTTTGTTCTCTCCCATATTTTCAAATATATTTATATAGCAGCTGGCTTTGGAAGATAAAGATGCTGACTCCCTTCAGGGCAAAGAGCAGGTTTGTTTATTCTCCAGTGTACTAAAGATAATATCTCCTAGGGCAAAGTTCAGGCAGGTTTGTTTACAGACCATTGTAAAAGATTCTGGTTCCCTGAGCTCAGTGTTCTTCAGCTGTTATACAAATCCAGTACATGTGCAGAATTCACATAGGACCACTCCATGTCACCCCCGTGGGACTTGGGGCAAAGGCAACTGACAGAAGCGTGAAGATCATGATGGCTACTGTGCTGTAAATAATAAAGTCCTTTGACTCTGACCCAGTAGTCTTTTGTTTTCTGCCAGTATCCATGAAATAGCAAGATAACTGCTTAGTATACAAGTATGGAAAATCCCAGAACCTTCACAATTCTTAATATTTTTTTATAATTTGCATCATTTAAATAATTATACATGTATTATTTTAATCACATGGGCACCCACTAGGTTGTTCACAAATATAGTGATAAAGACATCATCACTTTTTTTGAGTATCTACGATACAATCTGTTATTGTGGTTTGGCTACTTAGGGGAAAAAACATCTTACATGAAAGTGAACTGTTGTGGATTTTGCTTTACGTAGTGTATTGTCCAAAATAATATCCACTTTTTTAAATCACAAAGTTACACTAAATCAAAACTTCTAGTTTAAAAAATGCCATTTTCACTCTAGCAGTACACATACTAAAGTTAATATGATACAGAGAAGATTAACAAGGTCTGTACTCAAAGATGACATGAAAATTCATGAAATGTTTCATATTTTGAGAAGAAAAGGAATAAGAGAATGTATTTGACTAGTATAAAAGAAGACAAGAATGCAGAGAAAAAGGAAGATGAAATAGTTGGGATAAATATAAAACTAATAATAAGATGGTAGATAGAAGCCACATATATCAATAATCACTTTAAATGCAACTGATAATCTAACTAAAAGACTACAATTGTCAGAGTGGATTAAAAAGTATATGTTCTTTAAGTAGAAATTGAAGGGCACTTATAAGGACACAGATGTTTGAAAATAAAAAAAGACAGTAAAAGACATACCTTGTAAGCAATAATCAAAAGAAAATTGGTATGGCTACACTATTATGAGACAAAAAAGATTTTATGGCTCGAAACATTACTGGAGAAATAAATTGGCATTACATAATAATAAGAAGGCATCCCCAAACCCCACTCGAGGGGCATTCTGTAAATACCTGACCAGTACTCCTCAGAACTGTCAAGTTCATCAAAAACAAGAAAAGTGTGAGAAACTGTTATACTCAAAAGGAGTCTAAGGAGGTATAATGACTATCTTCTCAATTTTTCTAATTTAAATTATTTTAAAATGAAAATTTTATTGAAAAAATGATATATAACACAAATATACAATATTAGCAAAAACTCCTAAAAATCTATAAAGAAAGAGCAGACAAAAAAATAAAAATGAACAAAATACTTGAATAAATATTCACAAGTGGGACATCCAAGGGGAAAAAAACACATGAAAACTTTCCCTATTTCATTAGTCCTTCAGGTTATCTAAATCAAAATCACAGTGTGATACCACCATACACCCATGAGAATGGCTAAAATGAAAAAGACAGATAATACCAAATAACTGTTTGAAAGTGTTGGAGCAACTAGAACTTTCATACATTGCTGTAGGAGTGTAAATTGGTGCACTTTGGAAAGCGTTTACTAAAACTGAACATATACCTACTCTGTGATATAGTAATTCTACTCCCAGATATATACCACCCGGAATGCTGACATATACTCACCAAAAGACGCACATGAGGATGTTCACAGCAGCACTATTTGTAATAACCCAAAATCAGAAGCTATCCTTTGATTCTGATTTTCAGCACACCCAACTTTGGCTAGAGAACCTGCCTGACTTTTTTTGGTCCTGATATTACTTCCTGTTTACAATCTCTGTTTAACTCTGGATCTTCATTCAAGTGTCTCCAAACCCCGCCTAAGAATGTTCCCTTAACTCAAAGGATAATCAGGGAACTCCTTTGGCTAAATTAGATGAGTTACCTTGAGGCACTGCCACAAAAAATAGGTTCAGGAGATTTCTTCAACTAAGTAGAAAATCTGCACTATGGATGATGTCAGAAGGGAAGACAAAACCAGTACAAATCTTGTCTGCCTTAGAGAACTTTTGTGTAAGGCTAGGAATGTAGGCTAGTCATTTTGCTTTCACTCTTTCTTCAGGCATTGTTTCAAAAACAGCAAGGACAATAATAAAAGCCTAACACCATGTAATGATATATAATGTCATGTGTTCACTTCATGTATACTTGGCTATAATTCTCCCAAATAACACATTATGAATGCAAATGAACCATTTTAATTTGTAGTGAAGTGGTAAACAGTGAATAGCACGTTTATGTCATGCTCTGTGGGACCTAACATGGGGAAAGAATGGAAAAAGGAAAAAGTTCTCCAGTGCCTACTGCAGTGTTTGGTATAGGGGGGTGATTAAGAAACGTATGTTGAAAAAAGGGGACTGGAAGAATCCTCTACCTATTTGTACAAGGAGAGAAGAGGCACCACCTGGTGAAAGAGTTCTTTTTTTTATGGACAGACTGCTGACAGCAACTGATCGCTAGTCTCTTCAAAGTACATTCTTTTGGATAGGTAAATCAAACATTTATAAAACGGCACCCTGCTTATTCCCTCTAAAGGATGATTAAAAGCAAACTCCCTCTTTTCAAGGTGTAATTATGTATAATTGTCAAAACTTCTGCTGCAACTATAATTCGTAATTCATATTTAAATTTTAATGTTAAGCCAGTGGAAGTTGCTACTTAAAATAATAGCAAAAGTTTGTTAGGGCTGTGAATAAATTTCTTCCTCCTGCACCATTAATAAAAGGTCGAATTTAACCTTGACTAGTAAATACTCAATTTTCTTTTGCTTTCAGAGACTATAACAATGAACTTATCTGAAAATACTGATTGAGAATATATTAATTGCATCGTTTTTAGATCCATAGAATATTTTTGGGGGAGAATTACTCATTTTCTTCCAACTAGTATTACTAGATTAATTATACATCTGAAAAATTAGTATGCTTATTTGTTCCTGTGGTTGATCATAAAAGTTAGAAATATCCATGCCAAAAGGAAATCTCTTCTAGCGTGCATATTTATATTGGACTCAGTGATACAGTATTTAGCTGTTAATTTTATTTTATGTATGTGTTGTTCTATAACTGCGACTCAAATGTGCATTATATCCATGTCAATAGGTAGCAGTTACTTGTCTACCAAGTTTATTGTAGAGGCATCTAAAATGCAAAAGAGATTAAATCATAAATTCATGTTTCCCTAGAACCTAGTGAACCATAAAAATCTTGCAAAGTTTGCCAGACATCAACATTTAAAATTAAGCTCGACATTTCTGTCTTTTACTCATTAAATTTCCGGCCATGCATTTCATATGGTATATACAGCGAGTCACTGTGAAGTATCAAGCCAAATATAAAAGCTGTAATAGTCTTCCGAAGTGAAAAAACTTCAATCTTCCATGGAAAAGAATAAAATAGGATGCCCCAAAAATAGATAAAATAGAAAAGAGCCCACAATACAGATTGTAATTAATTTGGTGCTCTGCCAAGTTCAGTGAAAGAAGAAAATATCAAAAATCCCAGAGTAAAGATAAGCATACAATAGATTGGGCTTTATTCTAAAAGATACATTGGATTCCTTAATTTAATTTCAAAAGAAAAAAATGTATCGATTAGGGTTGCAAATTATGATTCTATCATTAACTCTTTTTTTTTCTTTGTGGAAGGAAAGATATGCTATTGAAATTAAATCTAATGTTCACATTAAGAAAGCAGGTCTGTGTTTTTAAACTATATTATTTATTTATTTCTTCCTATATTACCATAGGATTTTTCCTCCTCAAAATCCAAGTTCCCTTGGTTGTGCTAAGATCATTGATGATCAAAAAATAAATATGCTTACTAAATGAATATGTTAGGAAGCACTTTTTTTGTCCAGATCACAATCTATTGCTGATGTCAATAAATGTCATAGATTAAAATAATGTCAAGCCACTTGACAATCCTGTGAGGAAATAAACTTAATTTTGAATTGAAATTTCCTCTGTCAGAGAAAATGTTCTTTCATGTGAGGTAAGAGTAAAAAATAAATAAATGTGTTTATTTCCATTCCCTTCCCCCAAAATAGTAGCAACTCTCCTAACCACCACCACCACTACAGAAACAAGAAAGGCAAATAGATGTTGATCCTTCTACAGTGGCCAAGGTGGGTGTTAAATGCTTATTTATTCACTGTGTGGATTTGGAAGATTTCTCCATGTAGACACACAAGGTATTAGGGAATGGCCTCCAGTAAGACACTATGAAAGCGCAGCTCTTATGCGGAGCCATATGTAAATTTTATTTCCCCAGCTTAAGCATAAGCTTTAGTGAAGATATCCAGAATGGAAATGTCCAGTGAAGGAAGTTTCTGCTTTGGCAAACGTGTAACCCAGTGGCAAAGAGTGAGATAAACTTGCTACACCAAAAAAAAGAAAAGAAAAGAAAAATAGTATAATGTCTAAGATTTACAACAACTTTTAGACTTCCATTGTTAAATTAATGCAGTCTGTCCTATATTTTAAAGCTCCACCTGTGCCAAATAATGAAAGATGAAAGGTACAGAATGGGGAAGAGCAGTGATCTTGAGCTATAGCATCAAGACGCGGCTAATAAATCAATACATTCTTTTTCTTTTTCTTATGCATCATCTCAAACTGCACACTGAGTCAGAGCATCTGGGCTGTGATCCAAATCAGATAGTTACACAGCCCAAAACACCAGATCAACAGATTTCTGAACTAGTGTTATTCATCATATAGACATAATCGTTAGACCAACAAGATATGAAGCTTGTATTTACAGAATGATAAACTTCCAGATGAAAGCTGGAAAAATTCACTCTGACTCACAGATGTTTTGCCTATTTGATGATACACATCTGGGTATTTGGAAACATCCAGATGATTAACTATATTCTTTAGTTTCCTTGCAACCGTTCTGTGTCATATAAACAATCTTCAAGCCTTCCTTAAGTTAAGACATTCCCTATAATTCACAAATATTATGCATTTATATATATGCACACAGAAAATAGGAAAACAGGAGCAATAGCCTCCCAGGGGACATCTGGCAATGTCTGGAGAAATTTTAATTGTCATATCTGGAGGATGCTACTGGCTTTGAGTAACAGAAGCCAGGGATGCCGATAAATATCCTACAATGCACAGGACATCCCCTTACAACACAGAATATTAGCTGAGTAGCTGGTGATTTAAAATTAATTGATCACTCTTTATCTAGATGTTTTCAGATTATAAATCCAAGTGCAAACTATGAAGAATAAGCGCAACTGTTGTTCGGCAGCCTCGGCATTAAATTAAACAATTATAAAAACCCAGATGAATCAAAGACCAGGTTGTGCTCGGGTTAGGACAAGTGGTGTGCTGCAGGCAGCTGGTGCTGGCTTGAGACGACTTTTAAATTTTCAGGAATTTTGCAAGCCAATTGATGTCACACTGATATTCTGAAATTGTCCATGTTAAGAGTATTTACATGGTGGAAATCGGCAAACACTACAATCAGGATTTTGCCCTACCCCGCCAAAGAGACAGTTGTCAATCATTTGCCAGCACACCACTGGTTAGGATACAGAGCACTGGTGATTTTGTAATACTATCTACCATCTACTTTACTCTATGAAAAACCATTTTTACTGGCCAA